ACACCGTTTTAAGTGGTTGACAACACAGTGCTGCTGATTGTTTTATGAGCATTGATTCGGATGGTTTAAAGTGTAGTGTAGTTTTGTATTTTTGAATCCATCAAATCAGGGATTTTTTGAATTTCTCTCTCTTTTTTTTTTTTTCAATTTTATCCCTCTAAAAACAATTATTTTGAAGACAAAACTTTAAGTTTTCAAAAATCGCCACTAAAAATCATCGAAAATTGGACCACTCACAAACGTTCAAAATCAATACTTCCACTTTGTAAGAACCGGTACCATTTCAAACATAGTTTAATTAGTATTCTGATAGTTACATATAACAGACCATTTTCTAGCGTTGATTACTACTAATTTAATTAAATTACCTTCATTATAAATGTAAATAGAAGTCAATTCACTGTTTATCTTTATGGAAGGAAAAAAGAAGTCAATCCATTTTACTAATCAGGCTGATGTTTGGCTGACGGAGGAGTTCAAAGTTTCATCCAGTTTCTTACGAGTATTCTCCTTCGACTAGTCAGAAGTCAACAATATCTTATAAACGGGAGAATTCCCACTAAGTAAGGGTGGATTGATAGGGGTGGGTGGATAAGTTTGGTAGGGAATATGAATTTTTTTTGTAGATTTTTGTGGGTATTAATACGCATTTAATTATTTTAAGTGTGATTTATTTGTATTTTTTGAAAAGTTATTTGATTTCATTTGTAGTTTTTTCTTATTTTTGTTGTGTTAGAGCATCTCGGCGAATTTTTTTAAAATTGAAATATTCTTTATTTTAAATAGTCAAACACTTAATATAGGCTCCAAATTCATACATTATTTGCATTATTTCAAGGTTGCATTTAATAATACTGCGAATTCAATACATCACAATTTAAATTATTAGCATTATTTAAAGTATTTTATCCATTGAGTAAAACAAAGTTTCAAGAAATATTTTTTGTGTACGTATATATGAAGCTGTTTTGAGCTATTAATACCAACGGATTAATGGCCAAACGGCGAATTTCATCATCCCATTGTTGCAATGAAAGCCGTTGCGTTCGCCACAAGCAAAATAATAAGGCTGCCATCTTTTAATCACAAACTCAAATCCTTCTCCTTGCCCTTGTGTCACTTGCGCAATCCTCTTTGCTCTTCTAAAATCACAATTCTGAAAACTCCAGAAATTTGGTAGCAGAGATACACTGTGAGGATGTGTGGTGTCATTTGGAGGATCAAACTTGAATACTGCATACATGCAACAAATCAATATTAATCGCTTAGATGCAGAAACAATAATCAATACATACGAGCTTGATTTACTTATCTTGACTTATTACTTGTAAATATTCTAACACCGTGCTAAATAACTTACATCTCCTTCAGGGACGGATTTAATGTGGGGCAGCTGACACGCTAAATTTCAAATTTCCAATTTTCCCCGAGATTTAAAAAAAATAAAAAAATCCTTACAATTTTCAATTTTTGCCCCCAAAATTCTTTTATCCTAACTCCGTCCCTGGTCTCCTTTTAAAACTTAAACTCTACAGTGAATTGGCTACTTACCGAGCTTGTCGTTCAAGAAAAAGGGGCCATTTCTGATAGCCCAATCAGTGTAATTAAACCCAAAATGCCAATTCTCAGATCCGCCAACAATTATTCTTTTCGAAGTTTGAGTTGGATTCCAGTGTCCATAAGGCCAACCAGTAGTGTAATTCGTGTTTCCATTCCAATCTGCACTCGTGTTTCCATTCCAATCTGCACTGAAATTCTTGTTGGCCATTCCAATGCCAAACATGGATATGGCTACAAGAATCACAATGGCTCCTGTATTTCCCAAACCCATCTTCTTCTTTCTCTGGTATTATGTACTTCTTTAATGGCAGTTTATAGGAGTAAATGTGATTGTGTTGATATTTTTGAAGAGACAGTACGTGGGTTTTTATAGTAAAGTTTGTGGGAATTAAGAATGTCGAAATACATATAAGTTGGCAGAAATCAGATAAATTTTTCTTTTTCTTTTCTTTTTTTTCGTCTTCAGTTGGTTGGTAAGACTGAAGATTATGACAATATAAGATGGTTGAAATTGGCAATCTTTTTTCTTACATTTTCCAAGTCATCCACTTAGTTGTCTAATCTTTAGATCACATTGAATCCTCCATTTATTGTTAAAAAAAATGTATCTATATGTAATAATTTTTCAAGTGTTAAATTAATGGTTTGTATTCATGATGAGGTAGTTACAACTCAAATAATCCCAAGAAAGAATTATAATCTGGCATTCTTAATTTACCTTCTTCAATCAAGATAGGGAAATATTCGAAGCCACGATTGTTTGAACGAAAAGTTAATATTGCGTAACGAGTCCCAAATTTATTAAGATTTCTTGCAAGGGATGAAGATTTATAATTACCATCGAGAAGAAAACTCGTAAACCTTTAAATAAAGTATTTAGTAAAATGTTAAGTAAAGATCTTGGATTCAAGTATCATCGTCATTATATCTGTAAAAATTGTACATTTATCAAGCGTTCGAGAAAAAAATTAGTTTATGATTGTACATGAGATGCAAGTTAAAAATAAAAATAACATACTTCCTAATAAATTAAAGATCGACTAACTTTTCTATTATTGTGGTTAGAAATATTAGATTCTAGAAATTGCTGGATGCTCCATCAACATGGCTGGTAACTGGGGTTGGTTAGTTTGCAACAATTTGACTTGGAAGTCTTCCCTTTTCCACAAATTTGATGCCATGT